TTTTTTTTTTTTTTTTTTTTTCGATGAAAGAACAACGGTTTCTCATTGTTTTCATAGCTTGTTACATTTCCTCCAAGTCAGAAGTTTTTTTCGATTTTTGCATGTGATCTCTGGCACACAGTTTGGGATTGCCTGCGCTTGCTGCAGTTATTTAAAATAAGGTATTTGTATTTCCAATCGCTAAGTATCTGTTTCTGCATAGTTAATGCTGTCAATCGAGTACCAATTGTAAATTGCTATTTAATAATAATAATAATAAAGACTTTATTTTACGAGGGTAACACATAATAGCATAGCTAATAAACTTGTGGCCCTCACATTTTTAACATTTTGTTGTGTAAATTTAAGATATTTTCAAATCTACTTCTGTCGTAATAGGGGTGGATAACATAACTATGTGTATTCTTAGTTGTAATTCCAAGTTAAAACTGATCGATCAATGTAAACAAACATTGCACTTAGCCTTTCGGCATCGTCGCGCACGCTTTTGATCCCATGGGAGACAATCTTTTCTTTTATAATTAACACGTGAAACGATCAAGTTTAATGCGTCCATCAGGTGCTGTCCTCGAGAGGGTTAAAAACATCACGTTTGTGAATTATGACGTGCTATATTTTTTCATTTTGTTTGCTCTCGCTTTGTTTTGCGCTTCTGTGTTTTATGGCAGAGGCGTAAAATGAATAAATTCTAGTTTGAGGGTGCGTTACACTTTGAACTGAGGCACGAAAATAAAATTGAAAGGGAATTGGCATAAGAAGCTCATTAAGCTCGCACTCCCCAAAGCCACTCGTCGAAGCGGAAATGCAAATTGACGTGCATATCCAGAATTGCCCTCGTGTGACGTCAGTTTTGTGAATCGAGGATATCGTAAAGTGGGAGAAAATACATTGTTCTTGAATGCAGATATAATCTTCTTCGCTTTAAAAATAATGTTGGATTTCATGTATGTGAGTAAAAGAGGAATTCTACTAATACATCACGAGCTTTTAATTCCAGTTTAATGAGGTGTTTCGTGAGATAAACCGTTGAGCGTTCATTCCCCGTTTCTTCCCCAGCTCACCCTCCTAGTTTGCGAGGGTAAAACAGATTGGCAAGTAATTTAGAGGTGAGTGGAGATGGCTGAGCTGACTTGAGTAATCAATTACCAGACAAAACTATAAATAGAAACGTTTACACTTAATTGGTGATAGTTCTGCACCGCCTAAAACACCTGTGTCATAACCCCACATATGGAGGCGTACATGAGTTTTATATTCGCAAATGACTTGCCTGTTCTTTGCCTGAAAATGAGACAGACGCTGTTATATGCTAAATCGGTGAGTACAGTTTTCAATCGTTTTGTCTTTTAAATCTTAGGAATGATCAGTACGAGCGAACTGGCTACATATTCGTGAAAACGCTTCTCGAATATCGACTTTCAGTGATGACTGAGAGACCCACTGCGTTCAGTTTTTTTGTTTTTTTTGTTTTTGTTTTTTTTGTTTTTGCGCCGTTCGTGTACAAATTAAAACAGCCTGGGAAAGGACAAAGACTCATTAAAACCTAAATAAAAATAATTTAGCACAAATTAAAAAGAATCGAAAAAAGTTACTTCGATATTTTTATCGCTCCATCGTTAAAAAATAGTTTGAATTAACTGCTGGCGATACCAAATTTAATATGTGTCAGCAATTTCAAGATATGTTAAATCATAAAACATTTCTAAGAGGCACATGACGTGCAAGGAATCTAAATCTAATTTTGATTCAGAAATTATATTTACAGCAAGTGTTTTAGTCTGCAATCACTCATCTGTACGAAGCACTAGGGGAACTTCTTCTTATCAATGAGCTGTAACGTCATACCCTACTTGAAAATCGGAAGGAAACCAAAATAGGAAATTGATGATGCTGTAATGTTACTATTTCCCAAAACAAGGGGGTTTTCCTTATCTCGGACATTGAATATTGATTTAAAACCTTTAGCGGATTGTCTATTTAAAGACCTGAAAACGTACAAATTGGCTTTCAACCCGGCGCAATATT